ATATATATATATATATATATATATACAGGTGCTGGCCAGTAAATTAGAATATCATCAAAAGGTTGAAAATATTTCAGTAATTCCATTCAAAACGTGAAACTTGTACATTATATTCATGCAATGCACACAGACCAATGTATTTCCGATGTTTATTACGTTTAATTTTGATATTTATAGGTGACAACCAATGAAAACATCAAATCTGGTATCTCAGAAAATTAGAATATTCTAAAGGCCAATGAAAAAATGTTTGTTTCTCTAATGTTGGCCAACTGAAAAGAATGAACATGAAAAGAATGTGCATGTATAGCACTCAATACTTAGTCGGGGCTCCTTTTGCCTCAATAACTGCAGTAATGCGGCGTGGCATGGACTCGATCAGTCTGTGGCACTGCTCAGGTGTTATGAGAGCCCAGGTTGCTCTGATAGTCGTCTTCAGCTCCTCTGCATTGTTGGGTCTAGCGTATTGCATCCTCCGCTTCACAATACCCCATAGATTTTCTATGGGGTTAAGGTCAGGCGAGTTTGCTGGCCAATCAAGGACAGGGATACCATGGTCCTTGAACCAGGTGCTAGTGGTTTTGGCACTGTGTGCAGGTGCCAAGTCCTGTTGAAAGGTGAAGTCTGCATCCCCATAAAGTTGGTCAGCAGCAGGAAGCATGAAGTGCTCTAAAACTTCCTGGTAGACGGCTGCATTGACCCTGGACCTCAGGAAACAGAGTGGGCCAACACCGGCAGATGACATGGCACCCCACACCATCACTGACGGTGGAAACTTTACACTGGACCTCATGCAACGTGGATTCTGTGCTTCTCCGCTCTTCCTCCAGACTCTGGGTCCTTGATTTCCAAAGGAAATGCAGAACTTGCTTTCATCAGAAAACATAACTTTGGACCACTCAGCATCAGTCCAGTCCTTTTTGTCCTTGGCCCAGGCGAGACGCTTCTTGCGCTGTTTCATGTTCAAGAGTGGCTTGACACACGGAATGCGACACCTGAATCCCATGTCTTTCATGAGTCTCCTCGTGGTGGTTCTTGAAGCGCTGACTCCAGCTGCAGTCCACTCTTTGTGGATCTCCCCCACATTTTTGAATGGGTTTGTCGTCACAATTCTCTGCAGGGTGCGGTTATCCCTAGAGCTTGTACACTTTTTTCTACCACATTTTTTCCGTCCCTTCGCCTGTCTGTTAATGTGCTTGGACACAGAGCTCTGCGAACAGCCAGCTTCTTTAGCAATCACCTTTTGTGTCTTGCCCTCCTTGTGCAAGGTGTCAATGATTGTCTTTTGGACAGCTGTTAAGTCAGAAGTCTTCCCCATGATTGTGGTGCCTTCAAAACAAGACTGAGGGACCTTTTAAAGGCCTTTGCAGGTGTTTTGAGTAAATCAGCTGATTAGAGTGGCAGCAGGTGTCTTCTATATTCAGCCTTTTCAGAATATTCTAATTTTTTGAGATACCAAATTTGGAGTTTTCATTAGTTGTCACTTATGAATATCAAATTTAAATGTAATGAACATTGGAAATACATTGGTCTGTGTGCATTGCATGAATATAATGTACAAGTTTCACGTTTTGAATGGAATTACTGAAATATTTTCAACCTTTTGATGATATTCTAATTTACTGGCCAGCACCTGTATATATCTGTGTGTGTGTGTGTGTGTGTGTGTGTATATATATATACATACATACATACATACATATATACATACATACATACATACATACATACATACATACATACATACATACATACATACATACATACATACACACAGATATATACAGCACCCGATACATCATCGGACAAAGACCACTAAAGGGGGCATGTATGGTCCCTCCGCTGCTGCGGATGTCCGTTTATCTTGGACATAACTTCCTTAGAAATGGCGTTGCAGCAAAACGAAGACATTGTTTTGTAAAAATGGCTAAACACTGTGAGTTGAAACAGCTGTCATTAATAATAAAACAAAAGCTGTAAAACTTGGGTTTTATTTAGAAATAGATCTGATGCATCGCTCCAATTGCCTTGTCAGCTGATTCTGATTACAAAAGCAAAACTTACGGGCAGAGGTGGAAAGTAACAAATTACATTTACTCACATTACTGTAATTGAGTAGCTTTTTCGTATATTTATATTTTTTAAGTCGTTTTCAAAAGCTCTACTTTTACTTTTACTTGAGTAAGTTTTTAAAAAAGAATTGTAATTCGCTACATTTTAAATCATATCCGTTACTGAGTAAAAATAAATTATAGGCTTAATAAATTAAAAATATTACGTGTAGCAGCGTTGGAATGGAAAGAGACACCTGCATGAGCACCGCGTCTAAACCGTGGGGGGTGTGGGTGTACACTTTTGCTCAAAGACATCAGTTCAGTTCCTCAACTCCCTGTTTACCTCCTCTCTCCCTCCTCTCCTGTGGGTTGGATCCCGCACCTTCGCGCACCGGTGTGACGTCATAAGAAATCTGCTCGGTTCGGTAGCCGGACTCGGTTCCGTGTTTGAATTGTGTTTCTCTACCGCTCCACACGGCAATGGCAAAATAACGTTTAGCGCTCATAACAAGCGGATTATCAGCGCTCTGCTCATGAAACAGAAAACCTGCAGGCCTCTGTGAGTTAAAACATCCTGATACTGTTCAGGTGTAAACATTGTGCTCCATCCCTGTGTTTGAACTCAGAAGATGCTTCTTGATGCCACAGATATGTGATGATTTAGCTTGTTTCTTTATTTTACTCCAGAATGAGATTAAATTATTACTAAAGCAGTTCAATGTAGTTAAATTAGTCATTCAAAAGATTCTAACATGCTGCAGTGTGTGTGTGTGTGTGTGTTACACATATAGGACTGCATGAGACAGCATGGTTTCATCAAATCCATGCAGTCCTATATCTTGGCTGAAGTAATGGCTCAGCAAAATAACATATTTCATACATAATGACGTCTCTGCAGTGTCTACGATAATGTTTTATCTTATCTTTGGTCTGGGAGGTGTAACTTATCATGATACTAGCCTTTTAAAACATGTTAAAGTTTTACAAGAGGAGATAAATGCATGAATTTAAAGTTCATGTTTGGAGACCAACCTTCACAGTTTGGAGGCTCACGCTGGTGAGGAGACACCATTAGTTCTAGTAACACCTGGGCACCCAAGGCCTGTTCTGACAGGATGGACGTTACGGGACCCTTAAGGATTCCAGTTGGATGATTGGAGGATGATTTAGGAGGATTGGAATGAACAAACTGATTTTTCAGTGGTGAAGGGTTAAATGAGTGAGCGAACCCACCACCAAGGATGAACTCTGCTAACTTAAAAAATCAGCTGCTCTAAATAAGCATGAAGGTCAGAGAGGAGCTCTGGGATGGACATGGATAAAGGAACTGTAATGTAGAGGTAAAGTAGGGCAGGGCCAACGTTAACAGCTGTCATACGGTCCATCTGAAATGTTTGACTGCATTAGTCTTTTGACAGGTTAGAGCACAGTCTCATGTTACAGTTTTGTCATGAGAACATTGAGATACCTCACAAACTGATGGCATCTTAAAAAATTATTTTTTCTCAAAATAAAGAATAATTTTAACCACAATTGAAACTTACCATCCTAGAAAAACCTCGTCCAATCAATGTGCATGTCCTGTTCTCACTGATTGGATAGAAATCCCTCCTTCAAGCTGAGTGTGTGTGTATGTGTGTGTGCGCACACACACGAGCAAATTGTGAACTGGCGTTGTGATTTAGCACTACTTAGATGTAGCCATCCTTACACTGACAAAAATGTAACTAAGTAACTTTTACTTTGAGTACATTTTGTTTACGATACTTTTTACTTTTACTTAAGTAAAAATTTAGGCAAGTACTTTTACTTGTAATTGAGTAAAAAATTATCAAAGTATTGGTACTCGTACTTAAGTAGGAAATTTTAGTAGTCTTTCCACCTCTGCTTACGGCCCGTTTTTACTTTAATTTTCAATATAGTTGCAGGCTGGAGCTCGGCAGTAACTCCCCACGTGATCATGACACATCCCTGTGTAGCACCAAGCCGAATTCACCATTTATTAAACAGACAATTACAGCAATATTATTCCCAAGTGAGGCAGAAAGAATGCCGCAAAATTCGTGTATCGCCATGCCGCCATGGCGCGTTTATAAGACACACAATTGCAGTAATATTATACTGATTTGCTGGCACAGTGTGTTTTGTAAAAGAGGCTCATGAAAGTTCACGTTATCTTTACAGGTGCATCGTTAAACATATTATACCAAATTTCTAATTATTTGGAGCTCACAGATTTTTGGAGATGTTCAGCACACGAACCGCAGTTGGTGTGAATGGCAGTCCTTCTGGCAGCCGCATGCACTCTGTGTGAGCAAGGGGTCTGCCTACCTGATACTTTTCTCGCCCTTTTATGAGTCAAAATCTCTGAATTTACTGTTAAACACATGTCCGTCGTCATGTAAGCAACAGCCAGCATTTTTCTAGGGGGTTGACTCTAACTAGCCTTTAGCTTATCAATCCAGTCAGAATAACAGTCTCCAATCAATCTCTTTCAAAGGGTTGTCTGCAGAGCCCCCACTTCAATATTATCACTCAAAGTTAATCACTCAGGAGTTTATATGAGTCTATTCACTTTCGTTCTCTCATTTTCCTTGGACAAAATAAAACGTCCCGCTGGATATTCCAGAGCCCAAGCGAGAGGAACTCGATTACAAGTTGTTCAGAGAACACTAATTGGATTTGAATTACTTTTCTGCGATTCATCAGGGTGGGAGGAGATGGGAGGAGAGGGGAGGAGGAGGGGGGAGTTCCATAGGTGGGATCATTAATCAGAAAGCTGCGGGATTAGTGGCTAATTAGAGAGAAGGGAATCCTCCTGAGTTCGCTTTGTCGCTTTAGTGAACATTAAAACAAAAGATTTCGCCAAAAGCACAGAAAAAGACGCGCACAAGCCTCCTAAATAAAAAAAAAATGCATTGTTTAATTGGAGGCAGCCCCCCTCCTCCAGAACGCGGCGTGGTTCATTCCAGCGGCTCTGTGTCCTCGGAGCGAGGCGCGTCTCTCTCATCCGCACTGAGCCAGGCGCTTATGTCACTTGGCGCTGCAAAGTGAATGTCGATGGAGAGACCAAAACAGAAAGCACCGGGACCGGGTGAGTTTGTCTTTACCGGAGAGAGGAAAATAAATCTTTTAGGGGCTCAAAAGTGAGCGCATTCCCTCAGATGCGGTAATTATCTCATGTTTGCGCATGGTAAAGTTGTGATTCTGGAGTCCAACTCTAGTTACCAGCTGCAGTTTGACTAAAAATCTGCACTCAGTTATAAAAAAGTTATTAATTATCCCATTTGCATTTCGTTGCAACCGTCTTCGCGCCCTTCACTGCGTTATGATGTTTTTTGCGCAAATCAGGGGACACGTGCACACTTTCCCTCCTATTTCCTCAGAAAATGTCAGCCTCAGAGAAACCCCTTTGGAGGAAATTGTGCAACATCTGAGCAGACAACAGTTTCATTGCGAAGAGCTCTGCAATATAAACAGAAAGCCACTCACGCTGCTGGTTTTAATCACAAGTCTGGCTCTAACGTTGAGCTTGGACACAGAAATATGGAATGAAATGAGATGTCAAAGCTGCTATTTACCCGAGCCTGCAGCTGACAAAGAAACCCACGTGAAAAGTCAGCTATATCAGCAGGGAGGAGGCTGAAATGATGAGCAGAGGAAGTGGAAACAGAAGATTTTCAGAGTGATGGCAAATATTGTTTCTTCTTCCTACTCCTGAATTTAGAACAGAGCAGCAAAGAGGAAGGAAATGAAGAAAATGGGCATTAATGTGAGTCTGGAAGCTATGGTATTAATGAGTGTGGATGTGTAAAACTCTGAAACAGCTGAAGTTGGTTTTCACATCTGTAGATTATAGTGAAACATATTGTTTTCCCACTGATCATATTTATGGCATAAGAGTCCCCAACCAGCTGCTTCTTAAGGCAGACTTTGAGGGGCTGTTTGCCCCTTTGGGGTCTTTTCTGTTCTTCACGTTTGCATGTTTTTCTGCACCGTTCTGTCTTGTGTGCTTGCCTTTTGCAGAGCAAGTCGCAGCCGCCTGTCGTGACGCCTTGCCCTGTAACGTCAGCAGAGTGACAAGGATGCTTTTCCTGAAAGCTGCACGTTTTATTGCCTCCTCCCCGGACAGCAGTCCGCTGACTTTCACGGCTATTTATTGGGCTTGTTAATGAGAGCGGGCTGAGCACAGAGCTCGTTGGTGTCTGCTGCGTTGGAGCCTGTGATTAGAGGGCACAGATTGTGATGTTAAGAGGCGCTGTCCCATGTCATTTCCATCCCAGTGACTGGGAGAGACGTGCTCCTTGCCGCTCGTACATGTCAGGACCTACTGATGATGTGAATCATAGTGAAATAATCAACCTGACGCAGCCTTTTGAGAGGATGAACTCAGGGTAAATGAGGACCTTCGCCAGGAGCATTGTTATATTTGAAGCTGTGTTGCAGTTTTTGCTGAAAAAAAATCTGGTTTTGTCTAATAATGAGATTATTTCCTTAATAATGAGCATCCATTGTAAGAATACAGGCAGCCAAAAAGGTGAAAAGGGAGTCAACCTCTGGTTGTTACACCTTTGGTGTTTGTGATAAATGAGTCTCACTTGCTGTGGAGGGATTCTGTCCCACATTTCTTTGTAGAATTAATATAATTCAGCCATATTGAAGAGGTTTTCAGGATGAATGGTCTATTAAGGGTCAAAGGTCAGACGTTTTCCTTTAATGTTTTCTAGCAGAGAGCCATGATTTATGATTCCACCAATTACAGCAAATGGTCCTGAAGCAGCAAAGCAGTCCCAGCCCATCACACTCACAGGCATCATATATCAGGGCTTCCCCCAGCGCTTTATAAGCCTGGTGGCCCGCCAGGCTTTGCTTGGCCACCCGCCAGGCTGAGCGTCATGCCCCGCCCCCCTCCCCAACCCTACCGTGTCCGCTGACACGAGCGGTGCAACAAAACTAGAGCCCTCCATCAGCTGATACTAGTGAGAAACAGCAGCGGAATGTGTGCAACCCCCCCCCACCCTCACCATCACGAAGGAGCACTGCGGGACGGAGCGCGCGAACCCCCCCACCCCCCACCCCGGCGGCCGAATCCGCCAGGCTTAACTCATTTTCTGGGGGAAACCCTGTAAATGTAGATGTGGACTGGTGCTGCCTATTCAATTCAAATTCAATTCAATTCAAAAATACTTTATTAATCCCAGAGGGAAATCCTATTGGAGCTGGCATCCAATAGCAGCCATCTTGGATAGGTCTCCATTCGCCTCAGTGAATTTAATTTTACTGAGGAAGGTGTTTACCCAATTAAAAAACACATTTTATTATGTTTTTTTCACAAAATCAGACACACATGGCATGATGATGTAAATATAAGTAAAAAAAAAAAATCCCAACAGATTAGTTAGAAAAGTCAATTGTACGTGATCTGATTTCAACACTGCACCAGTTGTCGCAAATGTAGGCTGCACGGCGAGTTGCTCACTTTGGCTCCAGTTGGGTTTGGAGAGTAAGGGAGCCATCCAATATGGCGACAACGCTGTTACGCTCTCCAGCGCCTAATGTTGCGTCTACGTATTTATGTCTATAATCCCACTGCCCCCACCGTGTCTGATAGTTGGTATTAGGTTTTTTGATCTGTTACTTTTGCACCAGATGGAATGAGAGACCTTACAGAAAGTTCAGGTCATTTGTGGCTTATTTTCTCCTTCAGAACGGGGCGTTATATGTTGCTTTTTTAGATCTTTTAGCTTACTTCATGTTGAGAGTCATTTCTTAATTTTTAAGGTCAGCTTGAATGTGGCTTGTGACATTCCCAAATATGGGGTTAATCACAGTTAAATAATGTTTCAGTAAGGGGGCTGTCACTTTTTTATTTGAACCAGGCTGGTTTGGATAACTTTTTTCACCGCGCCTCATAAAAAACTCCATTTTGTATTTAAAGGTATAGCAATCGATGTTTCTGAATTTCAGGAAAGAACCACCCTCTCCATGTTGCGCAACACCCTCCCAGCGTCTGTTTACAAGTAGCTGCCGGCCGTAATGTGTAATAAGAGGCTCTAAAAATAGCATGCAGAACATTACCTCTCAAGCAGAAAACCGGCAACAGCGGCGTCTGTGGGGAGCGGACTGGACCGCGTTAGCCTCTTCCTGATTTCCATGAGAGTGCAGGGGTGCACAGAGTAAGCATGTGCAGGAAGTGAAAACTAACCCAGGATTGGCTTCACCAGAAATTGACATTTTTGCAGATCAATGGTTGACGTGATCCACCCGGAAGAAAAACATTGATTGCTATACCTTTAACTTAGTCAGATATTGAAATTAGTTTACTGAAGTCAAACATTTAAATGCACCAAAAATGCTAAAGCAGAAGAATTCTGTTAAGGGATGAATGCTTTTTCACAGCACTGTGACTGTGTTGAAAAAGGTCATGCTGATTGGGTTTGATCACCAGTTTTTGTCTCACAGCAGGTTTCTAGTCGTGCTGAGCTGAAAAAATCAGATCAGGAAGCATCAGCTGCAGATTTTCTTGTGCTTTTAGGGTTTGATCATTAAAACACACAAACTTCTGATTGCATCTTGTTTTACTAATGAACTGAAACCAAGTTTGCGGACCAAATATGCGCTGTGCATCATCACTTTATGGTCACTGTTACTTTCTTCATTGTGCACAGTCTGATTTAATCATCATACATTTATGTTTGACAGATTTATTTATATTTAATATTTAAATTTCAGCATAAAAATGGACTTTTAAGTATTTAAAAGCCAGCAGCTTTCTTTAAACAGTATGTATAAATAATAAGTCATGATCAATTATTAAATTTAATGTCCAGTGGGATTTTTCCAGACATGCATATTGGAAAATATTTTCCAAAACAATGTGTTAAATCCTTACTGGCGTTCTGACTTTAATAGTGAACAGTTTAGTAAATATGTGATTACCCAGAAAGCCTTGTGTTAGCTGAACAGTTTACCACTGAAGCAATATGTAAAGATCCATGTTGAGCTAACAAACAGTCAGCTGGCAGGCAGCAGTGGCTCTCGTTGATTTGAAATTCATTGTTTTCACGGTGCCGAACACCACGCTGGGTAGACTTTAGAGCTCACCCAGTGTCTCTTGTGAATGTGTCGATACGGTTGGCATGTCGCATCTTTTCTTTCTTCCCTTGGTCTGAGACGGGGGCAGTCCTGCAGTATGGTACGAGAGAACATCTCTAAAAGAAATTTTAAAAAACAGATGCTTTTCTTAGCACCAGCTCCAAAGTCAACGTAAAATGTGCTCGTAAAATCTATTTCCTCATCAAATATGAAGATGTTCATAACAAAATGAGCACACAAAAAAAAAAAACCTGTTCATTTTGCTTCGTTCGTTTGATTTGAATGCAAATCAAAGCACAGCAGTGCGATGATGAAACTGAATATTTATGGTCTCTTCCTGAGCCGGGGATGTTGCAGAGTGCTCGTGGCTCTTTTTAACAGCAGATGAAATTGCACTTGAAAGTTGTAGGCAGGTTGCTCAACGGCTGGAATGAGAGACTCGAGTGTATTTTACCTTTGTGAGCAAATCACTAAACTGCCTCTCTTGTCACTGACACAGTGATGCATGCAGGTGTGAAACAAGCGAGGAAAACTGCAAAACTACAAGTATTTCAATTCAACTCAATTCAAGTTTATTTATATAGCACCAAATCATGACATCAGTCTCAAGGTGTTACACCCCTGAAACAGGGGAGAAAGAATCACGAAAGTGATTTGTGAGCTGCTTCTCTCATGCAGTCGTTTCTTGCAATGAGGCGCGAGCGCGCCGTTTTCCCCCTAGTGGAAGGCTAAGTCACTACTAATCGATCACAGATAAGGCTTGTTAGTCGATGGCCGATACACAATTCACTCTTTTTTAACTAAAACGACTCTAACGTGAAATATATCATGAAATATTAGCTTTTAAACAGTATTGTTAATATATTTACATTGGTCTGTTTTTAATCTATATGAACTGCTATGAGTTTACATTCATTGTGAAGCTTTGATACTGTAAACTGTGCATTTCTTACCACACTATTGTTCAAATGAAATCAGTCTTATAACAAATAACGAACAGTCACTGGATCCTCCTTGGAGCTGCATAGAGGGGTATAAAATCAGTCTTTAAGCTTGGGCATCAAGCAGTCTATTAGCCTATCACAAAGGCACTTCTCATAGCAAACATACCAGTACAGGTCAGTTCATTAAGCCAATCAGTAAAAAGTTTCCAATATAAGGAACCCAGCAAATCGCCTCAAGTCACTGACTGGTGTCTGAGTCTTTACAGCAATCCTCATGCTAGGCAAGCATTTAGCGACAGTGGAGAGGAAAACTCCCATTTAACAGGAAGAAACCTCCAGAGGATCCTGGCTCAATATAAAGAGCCATCCACCACGACTCACTGGGGGTCGAGAAGACAGAGCACACACACACACACACACACACACACACACACACACACACACACACACACGCACGCACGCACGCACGCATGCACGCACGCACGCACACACACACACAAACAACATATATACCAAGCAGCGTTTCTATGGTTACATTGTGATTTCTTAGTAAATATTCTATTTGGTGAGAGATAAACTTTATTGTAGTTATCCTAGTGAATCTATAATCAAACAGGTAAACTAGTAGTAGCACATCCAATGTCAAAGAAAGCAAAATGTTATTATCAGGAGAGGGAGAACATTTAAATGGTTAGCAACAGCGTTCAAGCCGATGGCCTTCTCCATGAGGGCACCACAGCTCAGCAGAACACCATCGTAGCTTCTTCTGGGGAGAATAACAGAGAAAAAATAAAGTTAACAGCTGAAATAGCAGGAAATAATGCAGTTAAAGAGCAGATTGTAGAAGAAAGTAGTCGAGTGTGGAAAGTGGTCAGCATGTCCTCCAGCAGTCTAAGCCTATAGCAGCATAACTACAGAGATAACTCTGGATAACCTAGCCTTTTAGATGGAGGCATGTTGGAGGCAGGGCAAGGGAGAGCATCTTTACCGACTCTACACTCCACCTCCCTCTACTCCCCCACTTGTCCAGATTTAGGCTAACATCAGATTTCATTGTTCTCCTTTAATTTAGATTGTTCTACAAATTCAATTATTGCCTCGTTCTCTCTTTCTTCTGCAGAATGCCTCATCTGTCTGTAAACAGTTTCTGAATCCTCCGTACCCTCAGCGGCGGGGTTGTGGGGCGCCACCATGACACACTCCAATAGCAGCACAGTGACAGCCAACTTGAGCGGGGCTCTGGACGGCTACAACTCTGGTGGGAACATCTACAGACCCTTCTCTGTTTTCAGCGTGCTCACGCTCACTTTACTGGCTATGCTGGTGGTGGCCACATTTGTGTGGAACCTGCTGGTGCTGGTGACCATTCTGAGGGTTAGGACGTTCCACCGGGTGCCCCACAACTTGGTGGCCTCCATGGCCATTTCAGATGTTATGGTGGCGGCACTGGTGATGCCACTCAGCCTGGTGCACGAACTTAACGGCCGGCTGTGGAAACTGGGCCGCGTGCTGTGTCAGGTCTGGATCTCATTTGACGTGCTCTGCTGCACGGCTAGCATCTGGAATGTTACAGCTATCGCACTTGACCGCTACTGGTCCATCACCAGACACTTGGAGTACACGCTCAAGACTAGAAAAAAGATCTCCAACGTGATGATTGCACTCACCTGGCTGCTGTCCTCCATCATCTCCCTGTCACCTCTGTTTGGATGGGGGGAGACCTACTCAGAAGGAATGAAGTGCCAGGTGAGCCAGGAGCCGTCCTACACCATCTTCTCCACCTTTGGAGCTTTTTACCTTCCACTTTGTGTGGTTGTGTTTGTGTATTGGAAGATCTACAAGGCTGCCAAGTTTCGGATTGGCTCACGCAAGACGAACACAATCACACCAATGGCTGAGGTGATTATTCTTGTTCTTTCTTTGAACTTTTAACTTGCAGGTATACTGCTGGGGAAAAAAATAGTTAAGAAAAGCTACTAAACAAAAAAAAAAGGAGATGTTTGAAAAAAGTAGTAGAAAGGCCTTATATTAGATTTTTTATCTTTCACCTTTATAGGAGCGTATTTGGCCATTTGAGCACATTTGTGAACGTTAAAGTGTCAGAAAAATACAGAAAAACTTAAAAAGTTGAAGAAAATATGGACAACAATAAAAAAATGAAGTTAAAGTAACACTGAGCAGTTTCCTGCCAGCAGAAGAGGAAAACTAACTTTGTTTTTGTGTTTTTTATTGATGACCGGCGAACTGAAAATGCTAACCACTAGCATTACAGCTAACAGCTGTAAAGCAAGTTGAGAGCGCCCCCTATAGAGCACCTACCCGCTCCACAAAGCTATCATATGCACTTTTTGGTCAGCAGAGTGGTGTCAAATATGAAACTGGTCAAGTTTGAACTCGGTAATCACTGAGATCAACGTTAAAGCTCTAACTTAAAGTAAAAAAAAATCTGTCTATTGCTGTTTTAATGGATGGTTTCCAAGTATTTTAGAGAGTATCTTTTAAAGGTTTATTATTAGCTCTTACTGCGCCAAATGCATACATATTGTAAAATAGAGATTGTTTTTCAATGGGCGGAGTCCTGGGCCTCGGAAAGTCTGTCAGCTGGCCTGGCCCCAGAGGATGGACAAGCCCACTACATTATCATCACCACTGATGTAGATCAGCCAGAAGCAAAACCATCCCGGCACCCAAAAACCCACACCAACACCTAGTGAGGGGTCTCCAAGTGCAGTTGAGCTTAGCCAGGGGTGTCAAACTCAAACTCACAAGGGGCCGAAATGAAACTCTGGGACGGAGTCGAGGGCCAAACTTAATATTTTTGAAAAAGTGACAGCAAATTTGCACATTTTCTTTATCAACATATATGCAATTTTGAACCTTTAAATTTGGAAACAAACTTATTTCTGCATTAACACTGAATGTGGAATAACCAAATTACACACGAGCAAGTCAGTTACAAATAAAAGGCATCAGTGGTATTCATTACTTGTGGTATTATCAGCAATTTTTAAATCTATTCAGGATTTGTTTTCTTGTTTATTCATTTTTCTTATTTTTTATTCTCCTTTTTTTCTCCTGTAATACGTGTCATCGCTGCTGTGACGTCTAGCTTTCCCCAATGAGGAACAATAAAGGGATTTTCTATTCTATTCATCTATCTGCAGCCTTTCCACTTCCTGTTTACTGTAGGTTAAATATTTTCTCACGGGCCAACAACAAAATAAGAATATAATTTTATCTTAAATGAAAATGCAACATCTCACCTGTTAACTTTCATGTTTTGGAGCAGAAAAAGAGCATAAAACCAACATATTTAAAGCTCAGTTTGCTCCACTGGTTTACTGTGATGCTCACCTGTTCCAGCCAGATACCTGCATCATGGGGTTGATCTGAGCTGAGGAGGAGACTCCTGTTGTTTTGTTCATCTTCATCATAATAATGACAACATTAGATGACAACAGGTGCTCACATAGGTTTGTGCTGCAGAACATGTCTGAGCAGCTTGACCACGTTGTTGTGTGTCGGGGAGGAAACACAACCACAGAGCCGTGCTGGTTTGAGCGTGTCGCTGCTCGCTGGAGTTATATCAGCTCTGTCTGGACTTTAGTTGAAAAACTTTCTCTTTCAGTCGTGAACACATTACTGAGCGGCTAGAATCTCATTTTATGGGCTTCAACGTCAGAAAACAGCTGAGTGAACTCGGTGCTGAGTGGGAGGATTGTAGTTTGTCCGAAACAGCGGAGCTGCAGAGACCGGCAGCAGGCGCTGAAAAAACACAAAGGAGGGGGCTTCGTCGGCTCCGCGCTGACGCCGCAAAGCATCATGGGAGTTGAAGTCTTTGCGGTAAAATCGGCCAGCGGGCCAGTTTTAATATATTTTTGATATTTATCTCGCGGGCCACATAAAAATGCTCCGCGGGCCGCATCTGGCCCGCGGGCCTTGACTCTGACATATGTGAGCTAAGCCAACCAGAAACGATTCATTCTCCAAATCGAATATGTCTCCTTTAAGAAGCTAAAGAAGTAAACCGGAATCTCACTGGGCTGCAACTAAGAAAGTTAAATTACAAGCAACATTTAGGAGAGGGTCTGCAAAATGGCTCAAGGCTTCCCCAAATGATTTGTACGGCCTGGCTGTCATGTTTCAGCTCCACCAGCAGTTGTCACTATATAACGCTGCGTAAATGAAACACACGATGAAGTGTCGAGTTAGCCTAATGAACTAGACCAAATTTTGTAAAGCAAGAGTTTGGTCTAGGAACGTTCCATTGGAACCTCCACACACCCCTAGCAGCCTTCTGGCTGGCTAATCACAGCTTTCTGTTGGGGTTTCAAACCAATAGAGCGCTGTGATTTGTCCACAATGGTAGGCCAATCACAGAGCTCTATCGGCTTTGTGGGCTGGTGGGCGGAATGAGGCAACATAGTGGTATAAGACGGCAACAACTTGTTTGAAACGGCTTTTACATCAATTTTTGACAATTTGGACTTGGGCTTTATTAGAATCAGGAGCAGATAGATGTATTTAAGTCCTTTATTGAGAAGAAGGATGTATGTTTGCCTTCTTCAACAGCGGACAGCCTCAATGACCGGCATCCGTTGCAGCGATTATCTAATGTTCGTTGTCCAGTAGCATATGGAGGTTGTTTGAAAGACAATGGTAGAACCCGCCCCACGACCGAGAGCCATCAACCAATGGAGTGTTGCCAGACTAAGTAATATTTTTATTTAGTCTGGCTTGCCAGGCTACCATCGAGTAATTAACCATTTGGCTGGAAATTTGGCCATCAGTACCCAAAATAATTGGAAATGGAGAACAGTTGGGGCCAAAAAATAATTGTGACTAAATTGCAATAAAAGAGGTCAATTTCTGATCACAGTCGGGCATTTGATTACATAATTGCAACATATGGATGAACGTTGACATTTCAGAGTGCAGAAATGCCTTACCATTCAGGCTCTCGTCTAGTCATTAACAGTCACACCGCAGCGAGAACCTCTTTATATCTGTTTCATCTTCTCATCTTTATAAGTCTCACCACTCACAACCATCTATCTTATTCGTTTTCCTGACCTGCAAATATATTGTGCATTGTTGATTGTTGCCACTGGTGAGCAGTTTATCAGTAATCAGGTAAGTATCTGATACACGAGCATACGGAAAAATAATTGAAGTCATCCTGCTCATCACCAGCAGCCTGTTGATGTGCGTAGGCCGAGAGTAAAAGGCTATAAATACCATCTTCAGCATCGCTAATGGGCCTCTGCACCTTCCAGAGCTTTGCAGTTTATCTAATTACCGCACATAAAAGTCTACATCTATTCCGCCTTCCAATGGCAAGCATCTAATCAGACAAGTCTCCTCTGTGAAAAATGCACCAAACTGCTACTTTTCACCAGCAATTTCCAAGTGAACCCATAACGTGTCATTGGTGGAGATTGCATGTTTTTCTTTACATTTTGAAGCAGAAAGATTTTTCCCTTGCCTCTCAAATGTTCCTCTTTTGAAAATCATTATATCTGAAAAAATGGATGGAAAAGAAAAACACATCTCGTTAGAAACTCTGATGGCATTTTCTCCCTGCATGAATTCTCTTTTTATTTTGCAGCAGTGGTATCCATTTGCCCAAAGGACTCAATAAATTAGCTTGTTCACTAAATTAATTAGCCTTATATGTTACTGCTTTGCTTGTATCAACTTTCATCACACAGGCAATCAATCTGTGAGCAACAGTAATTATTCAGAACGAGTCATTTTGTTATTTTAACAGCAGATGGCTGGTTTATTACTGTTTCAATGCAACGTTTGCTTCCATCGCTTCAAAGCTAAACAAAAAACCTGCAAAATGTCTATTTGAGATGTGAGCAGTGAAATCTGTGAGAATGAACTTTCTGTTCTCATCTTTCTAAACACCCACTCATTAGGGCACACACATACACACTATGGCACAAATAGAGTGTATTATCAGACATGATACATGCATTTCCTACCATGGTTACAAAAACTAAATTGTAGCAAAGATTAGAAATGTACATATAAATATAGGTGCATTTTATGGTAAATGCTTAAAAAGCGCATCTAAAATCTGCATAAAAGGGGGGTTCTATATATTCAATTCAATTCAAAAATACTTTATTAATCCCAGAGGGAAATTGATTGCTGTAGTAGCTCAGAATAATAATAATAATCAAGTCATCAAAGAGTTATTGTATATTACAATGGCTGTTGGCAGGAAGGATCTCCAGTAGCGGTCAGTGTTGCAGCGAAACTGAAGAAGCCTCTGACTGAAGACACTCTTCTGTTGTCGGACAGTCTTGTGAAGAGAATGCTCAGGGTTGTCCGTAATTTTCTTGATTCTCTGGAGAATCCTTCTTTGCATTATCTCCTCCAGTGGTTCCAGAGTCGTCGCCAGAACAGAACCAGCCTTTTTTATTAGGCTGTTGAGCCTTATCAGGTCCCTGCTTCTGATGCTACTGCCCCAACAGATGATGGCTGAAGAGATTACACTCTCAACAACAGACTTGTAGAAGATCTGCAGCATCTTGCTACAGACATTGAAGGACCTAAGCATCCTCAAGAAGTGCAGTCTGCTGTGTCCCTTCTTGTAAATGGCTTCGCTGTTCTTTCTCCAGTCCAGTCTGTTATCCTGGTGAACTCCAAGGTACTTGTATTCCTTAACCACCTCCACTTCTTCTCCCATGATGGAAACAGTGTTTGACTCCACCCTGTTTCTTCTGAAGTCTAAAATCATCTCCTTTGTTTTGTTCACGTTCAAGGTCAGATGATTGTTTCCACACCATGCCACAAAGCGCTCCACCAGCTCTCTGTACTCAGCTTCCTGTCCATCTCTGATACACCCGACAACTGCAGAGTCATCTGAGTCTTTCTGTAGATGACAG